GTATCACAAGTTTATTCATTTACCTGTTGATAGACATTTGGGTTGTTTCCAGTTTGAGCTAAAGAGAGCTGCCATGAACATTCATATATGAACCTTCATATAGAAATAGGCTTCACTTACTCTACAGCTTTACTTACATAGCTATAAGTCCAAATCTGCTTCATCAGATACCAACAACCAATTACTGTTTGGAGAAGAGCTTCTGGATAACCCAAAAGGAGTTTTAAATCACAATACTCGGGACCAGCAGTTAGCATAATGGCTATGTCACTGGACTCCCACATAGTCGACCACGGTTTGCGTCCCAACCCGGTGGCTTTAAACTCACACCGGGCGCGTGTGTGTGCGTGCCCAAGATCCCGAGAGGAGAATGGAGGAGAAGGGATTGCAGCATGGCCATTCCCCCTGGGGGATGATTTCTCACTTTTTGTCTCTATGTCTCTGTCTGGCGAGTGCACGCGCCCTAAAGGGAAAACCCCCCCCAAAAAAAAAAAAAAAATCACAATACTCAAGAATCATCTTACTAAGGACCATCAGGTGGCACAGTGGTGAAGGTACTGGATTTCCACATGGCCAACTATAGTTTGAGTCCTAGACTCAGCTACTTGAAAATCACACTGGGCACATGTGCATGCATGTCCAAGAACCTAAGAAGAGAAGGGATTGCAGAGTGGCCACCCCCTCACCCTTAGTCTCTCTCTGGGAAGTGTGTGTACCCTAAGGCAAAAATCTAAAAAAATATATCTTATTATGCCACAATTCTCTCTACCCCAAAGGCTTTTCCTATTTCTTCTATCCTGACTAAAGGCACCCAAACCAGAAAAAAGATTATTGCTGCACCCTTTCCATTCCCAGAATGACTCACTGACTATGTCAAGTCTGCCTTTAAATGCATCTCAAAATCTATCCCCATAAATTTGCATGCCAGTTCAAATGTACCTTTTAATTCAAATACATATCACTTGGCTAGACTATCAAACTAGCCTAACTGTTTTATTTACTTCGGATCACATTCTTCTCCAACCCATTTTTCATTCTATGACCAAAATGAAATTTTTCACAATTTCAAATCTAATGTTACTTATTTCAAACTCCTTAATAGCTTCTATCTCCTTAAGACAAAATTCAAGCTCCTTGTCTTAACACACAAAAAACTGTAAACCAGATTATTGTCTTTAGATTCATCCCCTGCTACCTCTCATAATGTTCTAACTGATTATGTCATTAACCTTTTTGAAGATGCATGTATCTTTTAAGAAGTTTATTATTTCTTCTATGAAAAAGAATCAGAGACACAAAGAGGAGAGTCAGACACCCCAAATAGGCTCTTAGGCCACAATCCTCTGTCCCCTCAGTCTCAGCGGGACAAGATCGTAAGAATCCAAATGTGTGCCCAGCATGCACATGGAGACCTCAGGATGTAAACCTGGGACCTTCCCACGTACGGTCTCAGTGTCATGAAGCATTACCACTGTGCTACCAAGGCTGGCTAGAAACTATTCACCTTTGTATCTTTAGTGCCAAGGGCAATACCTATCCTATAGTAGGCATGATATATTTGTGAAATAAATGAAAGATAGGACTGACTTAGATTGATACACACCATGAGATAGATGCAGTGGGACATTCTGAGTGGATTCAGGAAGAACAGCAGTCCAGTCTGGCTAACGCATAAAGAACACGAAAGACTGTAGCAGGCATTCCAGTCAAAAAAGCAGGGTGAAGCCAGATTGTCCAGCACAATCAATTCCATGTTAAAAATTATACACACTTGGGACCAGCAGTTAGCGTAATGGCTATGTCGCTAGACTCCCACGTTGTCGACCGTAGTTCGCATGTCGGAACTGGTGGCTTAAACTCACGCCAGGCACGTGTGCATGCATGCCCAAGATCCCTAGAGGAGAAGGGATTGTGGCGTGGCCATCCCCCTGTGGGGGGGTGATTTCTCACTTTCTATCTCTCTGTCTCTGGCGAGCGCACACGCCCTATAGCAAAAACTTATAAAAAAATTAAAAAAAAAAACAAACTATACACACTCGAGGGGCTAAAAGGTGGCGTGGATAAGGGCACTTGACTCCCACATGGTGGACCGCGGTTCAAGTCCCAGAACTGGCAGCTTTGTTTCTCCCTTTCTCTCTCCCTCTTACTCTGTCCCTCTCTGGTCAAATTTAAATAAATAAATAAATAAAGTTAAATAAAATAATTCGTATGAAATAAAAACCTGTACACACTTATCCTATGTTTGGACAGCCATGGTTCTACACAAGAATGCAACACACTCAAGATAGATAAATTCAAGAATCATTTTATTAACCACTATTCCGTTTACCCCTATAACTTTTGAAATTTGGAAAACAAAGGCAAATTGAGGGAACTCAGAGTACTACAACAGTCTGGAAAGGGGGACTCAATTAAAGCAGTTGAAAGAAAACAGATTAGAACAAGTCAAAGGGGAATGAACATTCAAGCTCTGCCCGGGTGTGGACCATTATGCAGAGAAAAGTCTAAATTGACTCCAAAGTTCTGACCTAGTCAAAATGATTAATGTTTAAAATGGTAGGTGGAGTGGCATAAGGTAATACTTTTAGTTTAGGTATTCCCTCATCCATTTAACTCAACTTGTGTGCCTCGAGGTCTCGGCCACAGGAAATAATGAAAGTAAGGTGCCATCCCTGATCTCAAGGAGCTTTTAATCTATATGGGTGAAGATGCAGGCGAATAAATAGAAACTTAAAATTCACTGTTAAGAGCTAGGACAGAGAAGAGAGGAAGGAAGGGAGGGAGGGAAAGGAAAGAAGGAAAAAAGCCAAACTAAACCAAAACAGAGGAGTGATATTCACTCAACTCAGCCCTGAGGATTTCAAGAAAGCTGAGGCTTAGTCAGCACAGAAGGATGAGTAGTGTTAGGCCTGGCAAAGCACCTCCAGGTGAAGGGAATAGCTTGCCCCAAGAGTGAAAGAACACAAGCTGGGTGCACCGACAAGCAGTCAAATAACACATCTGAAGGAAGAATTCAAGATATGGAGACAGCCAAAGAAAGTGTATGGTAAGTAGGAGAAAATGTAGGTCTTAAGCTACCAAGAGTATATCCAGACATGAAACATATTTTCAATTTTGCCTTAGGCTTAGAATCATGGCTAGTGGATATTTTAAAAAGAACTGGAAGAATCTTACATATCAGCTAGACGATATACTTCCACCTCCTCCCATCACTTCCATGGCAAGAGCATCTCTGCTGAAAGTCAAAACCTGATTTATATAAAACAAAGAAAACTGGTGGGAACTGTGGCGAATTCGAGAGACATGCCCTGCTTACTTATCTCCAGTGGTTTACTGCTTTGCTTGAACACAAGCTCCAACTAGAGAGATCTTTCAGTTCTTCGGAACTTCAGATTTTACTATTTCCATTTTAAAATAATGACAACCAATTTCACATTTACAAACTAAAACAACACTGGATCAACCAAACAACATACATCTGTGGACGGACTTCAGCAAGGACTAGGGATGTAGCGAAGGTCTCCTATAATGCTGTTCTCAAAGGATCTTCAACTAACACCCTAGGGGTTTCCCTCAGAGATAGCTGCTTGCTCCCAAAGCAAAATGGCCCCAAACTGGTCATATGAGTTCTTTTTACATGTTTTTAAACAATTTTTCTGTCTCCTCCTCCCCTACCACAATGCCAGCTTCTAGCATCGCTGAGACCTCCTACTCCCCAGCTGAGAAGTCAAGCTTGCAGGTACAGCAAAAGTAAATACAGTCTGATGGGTTTTCTAATGAATAAAATACATAAGGCTCATGGTATTTCTTCTGTTTTCTTAGAAAAGATCTTAGAAATTGTTGTAAGTAATCAGACAATTGAGGAAAAAGCCAGTAACTTAAATCTAAACTATATGAGCAAATTCTGCTAACAAACCAAATAGTTTCCATTGTAAGTGGAGGGAGGAGGAAAAACAGGCAAAAGGGAAAGTAAAAGTTGATGGCCTTTGAGAAGTACTAGACACCTTCTAAGACACTTGGCTGAAAGTATCAATGTTTGGCATAAAAAGTACATCATCATCTCAATTCTCAATAGAACAAAACTATACATTTCAAACAGCATGAAATATTCTCCAAACAACAAGAGACTGGGATTCATAAACACTATTAAAATAGTCATCTTTCTAGAAAAGTTAAATGAAGACAAGGAAACAAAAAGTCTAGTGGTCACAATGTTGCTTTCGAAACTTTTTTTTTTAATGTTGCAAATTCCCTAATTATACTAAGACATTTCAGAGCTCTCACACGGTATAAAACTTTAAATAACGAGGTGGCAAACTTAAAGAAATATACAAAGGTTAAAAGATAAGACTAAACAACACACCAAATGACAGTACCCAGATTCTCAAACTCTCAAAAGAAAAAAAAAAAATGAAAATAGTGGCATGTGCACGACCAGTCCCTCTTTAACCAGAGGAGCGGGGGAATTCGCGAGAATCTCTGGAGAGTGATTACGGAAGGCGAGCAAAGCAGGCCGTGTTCCTGCTGGCAGGCGAGCTCGCAATTACTTAGAGCAAGCATTGTGGCCAAACTCTTCTCAAGCCACTAAAACGAGCGAGCGTACTGGACACCTAAAACGAGAGCCTGACCCCATGTCCGGGGCAAGATCGAGAAGGAGGAAAAGTGGCCTGCTCAGACCGCCAGGGAAAACTCAGGCTCCTGCAACTGTGTTCCTGAATCCAGGAGCAGGGCATTAACCTCTCCGCGGCTGGATGATTCGGACCAACTCTCCCGGCTTCCTACGGCCTTCCCACTCGCCGGGTGAATGTCAACACCGAGGACCAGCAGTATGCGGGAAGCTCCGTCCTTTCGGAGAGGCGGTGAGTCCGGGAAGAAAGACGGCCCTGCCCGCGCCCCGCCTCCCAGCCCGGCTCGGCCCTGCGCCCGTGCGAGGGGCTGCAGCCGGGGAGCCGGGGGCCCGCGCTCCTCACCTTTTTCAGCGCCGGGCCCCGGAGTCCCACTTGGGCGCGTTCTCCTCGCTGAAAAACTCGTACGGCAGCTGCTGCGCCTGCATGGTGCCCCCGGGGCGCCTCCGGGCAGGGAGAGGGGCGGCGGCGGCCGGGCCGGGGAG